TCCAAGGCAGGCATGTCATCGTCATCCTCATCATCTTCCTCGTCCTCCATATCTCCCAAGCCTTCCATACCCGGTGCGCCGCCGCCGCCAAGCTTGGAGAAGTCGATGCCGCCGAAGTCGCCGCCGCCGGGGCCACCCATACCAGGCATGCCACCTAGTAAACGAACGTGTTAGTCTTTGCAACTGGAAAGGCTCTATTGCACCGTAATCCGCCATGGCGTGGTGTTGAGTTGCAAGGGAGTTTGTAAATTACGTACCCATACCGCCGAACTGAGAGAAATCCTCCTCGGCAGCCTCATCCTGCTCGTCCTCATCGACCCACTTGTCAAAGTCGGTCTTCAGGAAGTGGACCTTCTTGGCCTCCTTGAGCAGGCGAGGCCAGTACTCCTCCTTGAGTTCCTTCTTCTGGAGCTTGAACTCGACATTCTTGCCGGTGTGGTTGACCTTGCTCTCAGCGGGGTCGATCTCAGCGTACAGCTCGAGGTCAACGGCATAGGAGCGCTTCAGAGAGTCGGAGGTACCGCTGAAGGACAGGCCGGTAGGCTTCAGGTCGACCTTGAGACTGGACTTGGGAACATCGGGAACGGTGATCGTCAAGTAGACGAAGTTCTTGGAGGCGTCTGAAGAGCTGGAGCGCTGGGCCCAGAGAACTGTGGGGGGGAGACCGGGTTAGCTTCGGCGCATGTTCCGACATGGGGGTTAAGGGCGTGACTTCAAAAAAGAAGATAGCATGAGTTGCCGGCGAATGTATAAGTCGGCGATTGATTTCCTAGAACGCGCCAAATGGGAAGATGAGCTTGTACGTACCCTCAGGAGTTTGTGTGGTGGCAGACATTTTGCTGGTGGGAATTTGTCGAGCAGGGAGCTATGACGGGGGATGAGGGGTAGGTTGATTCACGCGAGGCGCAAATGTGTCGCAAGGAGGCAATCGCGGTTGGCAAATTGACCTAGTGATAAGAGGTATTATGTGTAGACGTTGTGCAGATATCGACAACGACTGTTGGAGTTGGAGGAGTTGAGAGTGTGTGGAAGAGAGAAGCTGGAGGGGGTTGTGAGGCTACAGGTTTGAAAAGGCTGGGCCCTTGGTTGGGGTGAGGCCGGGTGGGCTCCAGTTACCGCCTGGAGATCACGGGCAATTGTAGAAGGCGCTCGAATCCGAAAGATTTGGTAGTAACCCACACCAGGCAGGCGGCAGGATGCACAGAGCACCTACCTTACGGAGTACCTCGCAGCACTAACAGCTCCAGTCTGGCACTGGCACTGGGGGCCAACTGGTGCTGCCACCACCACTGGGCCGCTGCGGACCGGACCCTGGCAGGGCTGAACGCACTGTACACTTAAAAATCCCGTCTCCTTTTCCCCCCCTCCAAGTTCCCCTCCTCCCTCCCGTTCAGTCCAGGGCTGTTTATTTTTTTTTTCCCTATTCTTCTTTTGGCCGTGCCAGGTACCTGGCCGAGCCTCTTTTCTGTCTTTCCAGTTGATACCAGGTACTTCTGTCCATGTGGGACTGTTGCCCCAGATGCGAGTACCTGTTTCCCTGTCTTCCCCTCTTTGCTGACGTTGGCTTCGCGGCCGAAAGAGCTTTCCAGCCCCCTGCAACCCCACGAAATAGGCGTAAGAAGCATTCTGAGTGGATAGATGTCGCTTGCCTGCAGCTCTTGGTGAGGCGCATCATGGCAGCCGCATGCACACAACAAAGTCGACCTGGAGCAGTCTGTTCCCTTGTGTCAACTAATGTAAGGCGATCTGGAATCTTTGATCTTCCGGCGAGACGAAAGTCTGTTCTTCATTCTGATTCCCAGGTCCCTCAGCGTCGGAGCTGTCATCCAACCGGGCCTGAGCATCCAACTACTTGACATCCATCTATGTATAAGGTAGGTAGGTAGCCAGCCACAACAGCGTAACTTCGTCCTGTCTTCCGACGCGGGTCAACTAAGGCAGGCAGTGAGATCATCGTGGGCCCTTGCCGATTTCTTATCCACCAGGGGTCTCATTTGCTGCAATACGGGCCGCCCGGAACGTGCGATTCGCCTACCTGTGTGATACTCACTGCCCGCACTCGGATTCCCAAACTGTCCGCTGGATGACACAGGGGCGAGCAGCTTCTCATTCGACTGAGAGACCTCTCATCCTGCCAATGGGTACCGATTGAATGGCATTTAGATTTCAGGATGAATTAAACGCTGCAATCTTTGACTCAAAATGTGTTTCTTGTTACTGCCAAGGTGCCAGTTCAGTCAGTCGAAGCTTTCCAGGCCCCCATCCAGCGTCGACCACCCACTCGCTTAATGCGGTACTCGTCAGATGCACTCCCTCCTTACTTGCACTCAGCTGATTAAGTGCATGTCAATCACACTTTCCCCACGTGACGACTATCCCCCACTACAAGCCGTATCAGTCGATGCGGCAAGCAGGGAATGACGACACATCGCTTCCCAACCCAAGGCAGCGCTGATTGAACCTGGCAAACGACGAGGCTGGCGACAGCCTAACACAACGCGCTACGAAGAACCATCCACTACATACCATCACGAAGCCTCGGTATCCTAGGCTCTCTGTATTGACGGTTTCCTTCGGCCCTTTTGCTTGTCGATCCGCACAACATGGAGACGCTGAGAGCCATATTCGTCAAGCCTGATCCGCAGCAACAGGTAGATTACGCCCGTCGTGGCAGCAGTACCTTGGGAAATTTCTAATGAGATTGTATCTGAACAGCTGCGGAAATGCAACGCTCTCATTCGCTCGAATATCCGTAAACTCGACCGCGACATCAACCAAGTCAGGCAAGTCGAGGCCAAGACGAAGAACCTCATCCTCCAAGCCGATAAGCGAGCCCAACGAGACCCGACGAGACAGAAACAAGCACAGAAGGAGGCGCGCGACTTTGCGCGGGAACTCATCCGCGCGCGCAAGACGAGTAATCGCCTAGTCACTTCCAAGGCGCAACTGAACAGCGTGCAAATGCAGGTCAACGAGGCGTTTACCGTGAGGAAGATTGAGGGCAGCATCCGCGCGAGCGTCGGCGTGATGAAGGACGTCAACCGTTTGATTCGGCTACCTGAGCTGGCCGGCACGATGCAGGAACTCAGCGCGGAGTTGATGAAGGCCGGCATTATCGAGGAGATGGTGGGCGAGAGTCTGCCCGAAGACATGGACGAGTTCGAAGAGGAGGAGGCCGAGGGCGAGGTCGACAAGGTCCTCGGCGAGATTCTCAAGGACCGCATGTCCAAGGAGAAGCTCCCCGCTGCGCCGATCACGCAAGAACCCAAGCCGGTCGAGGTCGAGGAGGAGGAAGAGGATGCCGAGGCTATGATGAATCAGATGCGCAACAGACTGGAGGCCTTGCGGAGCTAAGGGCTTGCATATCGATAAAGGCGGCGTACGGTGTTTTGTTTCACGGGCCAAGTCTGTCAGCTCGGCTTTTTTAAAGGCAACATTCCACACAAGGGTCCAGATACAACGACGGAGACACATCCAGGCCTGGCAGGGCTTTTCCCAGCAATTTGTCGGGCGTGTCCACATCTACACAGTTTCTATGGCTCTCATTGTGCTCCCGGGTCATCTTCATGTTTCGTCTGGCGTTTGGAGTAGCTATCATTCAGAAGTAAACATTCTCTTCACGTGTTGAAAGGTCAGACGGGTGACTCTAGGCCAAAGGACATTGTACAGTTCCTCTCGCTTGGCTATTTGCATAAGTTAAGAGACTCAAAAAGAAAGTCCTCAAACGAAAAAATGTCTTCCAACTTTGTCCAGCTCGTTGTTTCGATGTGGGGAGCAATTAGGTCATACTTGATCTTTCCATCATGAACCAAAAGAGACCAATTTCCCCGTTTGTCAAGCCAAATTTTCCAATCATACCTTTCAGACGTCCCTGGTCGTGATTTTAAGATCTGAGATCTCAACTTGGCAGCGCCCGCCATGTCTCACACGGAGAATGCCGTCTTATCCTCTCTGAGTAAGCTGTTCACCACGCTTCGGTGGGCATTGTTTGTGGAAGTCTTCAGAAAAGCACTTGGTTGTGCTGAGATCCTTCGCTGCCAGCTTGTTCCTCTTATTGTTTGTTTCCTTTCACTAAGGCTACATGTGCCTCTCAAGTGGCCGGTTGGGCGATTTTCGGTCATTCTTCCATGGATGATGGTACTGATGTCGGATTTTACTTAATTGGTGTACTGAAATGGATTAAAATCAAGTCAAGATCAACTTCTATGGCTATATACAAACAGCGCATTAACTTGGGCAAATCGAGAGTGAATTCGACAACATGGCATCGTGGCTCTCATCGGAGCAGCTTTTGCCAAAGGATCATGTGCGAGTTACCAAAGGCTGAGGGACGAAATAGCATTCTCTCTTGGACATACGAAGAACCTCATAATTTGATCCCGTAAATGATCGTACGTGGAAATTAGTTAGATACTGATTTACGACTTTGGCCTCGTTGTCGGCATACTGTGTTAATGTCAGATCAGTCATAGTGCTGTATTCTTCGGCTCTGAGGCCCTCTAATAAGCATGCGAGATACAATTCTACCGGGCTTGATTGTCTCCTTGTCTCGAGGCCATCGGACCATTGGACCACTTTGACTAAGTTCACGGGGAGCGACGATAAAATCGTAAAGCGTAGTTAAGATTGGAAGACTAACAGCAACGAATAAGGGAAAAGTAGGGAGTGGTGAGATGTCACAAGAGAGGTGGAGGATGGCATCAGAAAGGAGACAGGCCCCGACGGAGAAAGAAACGGCATCGGCGGCACAGGGCGCTATTCATGCAGCTAATTCGCCGTGATACTATAGTGCCCTGCCGTCGCTGGGATAACATCAGGTATAATAGAAAATGATTCAATCTGTTGTCTTCTCTCAAAGCTCAACAACTTCTGGGTTAGCAGCGAACCAAACTAAGAAAACACCACCAACTACATTCAGACTATGGAAAACATGGCTTAACATCTGAATGATATCAATTCATCTTCCAACCCCAAAATACCGCCGTTAACTCATAAAAACATCAAATCTGCATGACTTTAGAATACAACCTCTTCATACAACACCTCTCCATAAACCAATCCCCCTCAACTCTTCGCCACGTCTCATGATAATGCCCCGCGCCCGTAGAATGCAAACCCGACTCCGAGCCCCTCGTTCCAGCGTGATAAATCACCCCAAACACAGCGTTGACCTCGTCCTCGGAAACCTGCTCCAGGTCCCCCGCGTCCGTCAGGTGCATCGTCTGCATGACTTTAAAGGCCTCGCTAAAGTGCGCGACCCACGCTTCGCGCGAGGTCCAGCGGTACCGGACGCCGTTGAGGGTCAGGATGCTGCCGTCTAGGTCGAAGGCTTCAAAGGTGAGGGTTGGGAGCATGATTGTGTCGAAGCGGTCCCAGTCGCATGTGTCGGCGAAGCGGCAGTATTGGGCTTTTTTGCGGCGGATGATTTCTGCTACTTCGGGGGAGATTACCATCTTTTGTTCGGTATTTTGGTTTCTCGAGGGTCCAAGATGCGAGGGAGGACAGCAGATATAAGCTGATCGCAACAACGATGGTAAATGAGTAAGAAAAATAATCACGTCCTCCGTCTATTGTATTCTGACATATCCCAACGCTATGTACCAGTCTATGCCCCATCATCAAGTCACAAGCAGAAGAGGGGGTTTTGCGGGGACGCTATCGATCATCACACTTTCTGCCAAGAAGGGAGTTGATATCAGATACTTCCCACGCTCGAATTACCTATTGAAGAATCATGGTAACATCGAGACCGTTAGAGACATGGGGGTTTCCTGCAGCTGTGGCAGCCCTCCAGCATTCGACCCATCAATTTACTAGGATAGTTAGAGGGGCGTAAGCACTTGTCCATAGCACGCCAATCAGGGATTCCACTGGTTCATCGGGCATTGTATTATAGTGATGATTTAAGCATTCATGTGATCTTGGTGAGAACCTCAATATCCAGGGTCTCGTCCGATTAAGTGATAGGAAGTGCAGATTTCCCCCTTCTTAGCACTCAAGCATCGTTTGAGGTAGGTCTTTCGGCAAGACTAGCAAGTGGCTTGTTCAATTCAGTTGGTAGTCCTCGACGCACATATCGTCCTTGGAAATACATCTATTTTCGCTTGTTGCTTCCTGTGAGCATCGAGGCCAAGAGACAGTCAAGATCGGGTTGTCAAAAAAAAAAAGTTCATCAAGTGGAACCACCACTTCTAAGACGAAGCTTTCACAGGCCTTTGGCGGCATGTCTCCTATCAGTGATGCCCAGACAGGACTGATGATGAAGCTTCAAGACTGTCTTGCACCATCGATCGTGATATCGTAAGATTAGCAGGTTCGATCTATCACTGTCCTATCGCAGTCAAAGCCTTGCAACATGTCTGCCGCAAAGTCGGAGTTCCAGTCTCAAGCAATCGAGATATCCCAAGTAAGATATGTTTGCCTTGTCCGCATCTGATATCTCATCTCTCGCCCGAGCATGTCCCCTCGAACGTACCGCATCCGGTTCAAGACAGCCTTGAAACCCTCAACCACAACCACAATCAACAAAATCTTAACTCAGACATCTCTCTCAACACCACGATACCTCTCAGAGGCTCGCCGTCTTCGAAAATAACGTTCGCAACCTCGTCTCAGCAAGCAAACCACCCCCCCCCCCCTTTCCCCATCCTCATCCTCCACCCTCCAAGTCTCGAGATAATACCCGCTGCCAGTCAAATGAACCCCCCTTCTCAAATCCGGCATCTCCAACATGATACACGAGTCCCAAAGACGGCCTTGGCCTCATTCTTACTGTCCCGCTCCGGTACCCGCCCCGATCCCGATCCCAATCCCCGTCTCCGGGCCCCCTCCCCCCCCCCCCTCAACAGCCTCAAACCCCCCTGGACCACCATCACGCAAAGTCTGCATCTCCTTAAACTCTCTTTCCACGACACGCGACGAACGCGGCTAGGCAGTCCAAACCCACTTCTGCTCCACCCCGTTCTCGTCGATGTACATCCGGCCCGAGGCGTCGAGGAACCTCGATCTCCGCGTTGGGTAGGATCAGACTGGAGCGGAGAGACTATTGTTTGGCATAAATGTAGCGACAGTAGCGCGTCTTACTACGGCGATTAGATTCTGCTGTTTCGATGAAGATGGGCACGATCGATCGTTGGGAGGGTTTGTTGGTTTGGGTGAGAGGTTTGGTGCAAGTGTAAACTCGATGTGCCCATTCATGCATGGTTCCGGATGAATCTCAATAAGCCTCACGAGTTGACTTTGTCTCCACGAAGCAGGTCAATGGCCTTTGCATCCAACACGGCGGTCTATCTAGAGATCTAAAACCCTCATTCTTTGCGATATGTGACCCAATATCCTCACACAAGAAAGGAGATCCTCTGCAGGAGGCCGCTTAACCACGCAAAGCCTTGTAGAAGCCTCGCTTTCGTTTAGAACCAAGTCACACAGCACGGCAACGGGTATACAAACAGTGATATCTGTCCCAATGCTCAAGTTCACCGCAACTCAAAGGACAACAACACTGACACGTTACTTCTCCCCTCGCCGCAAAGCCGCATCTCCCAGTAACCCAACGGCCCCAAGCCAGAAGCAGTTGACTCAGCATGCCATCTGTAAGCTGCTCTCATAAGCGGCTCTGCTCTCAGTCAGACCGTTCAGCCTATCACTGATCAGTCGAGCTCACCCCGATGATCCCCCACGATCTGACAACCCGTACGACGAGACCGGTGAACCTCCACAGGCCCTGCGCCCAAAGCATACTGCGTAAGAATGGCTGATGTAAGACCACCAAAATTCCAACGCACGCGACGAACAAGAGATGAACAAAGCTCTTGTCAGCTAGAACACCCCCAATCCCTCGGCCGGCGGTTGCGGCATCTCCATCTTCATCTCCACGAGATGGAACCGCAATAAGGCTCAACGGCTCTGGAACGCCGAACGCAGATCCCTTTTTGACAAACTTCCCCGATCGATGGGGATATCCTTCAATGGTGTATCATGGCCTCGGGGCGAGCAGTCCCACAATCCCAAAACGGTCTGACCGTTTCGCGGCCACCGTTTCCGGGAGCATAACTCAGGGGGAGGGAAGGGGGAAGTTATGCATTCCACACACTGCATGACCATTTCCGTTGCCCTCCCTCCATCCACCCGGTAGACTAATCCGGCAGCAACCGAGCAAGAGCCGGAAAGTCCCAGGGCAAAACTGCAAACTGCAAATCGCAACTACCCCAACGCTCAAAGCAGGAGCACGTCAGGGAGAAGAGCGCGCAATCACCCGCTAGACCGGAACAGGACCCCCTGCCGCAACTGCATCCACACACCCACGCAAACCACGCTTTCTGCTCTTCTCTTCTACGGGTCCCACAACCCGCAGCCGGTCCAATTTCGGGGGACGGGGGGGATGAACCGGGATAAGCAACACCCAAACACGCACACCCTCCGCGGTCGCAGGGGGAGGAAGAAGAAGGAGGCTAAGAGTGGAAAAAACCGTCTAGCGGCTTTCTAGAAGGTCGTCCAGGGCGGACAATCTCAATTCCTGGTTCTCTGGTGTCTGGAACCCGGTCCTCCCCCCCTACCTAGCCCCGCGGGCATCCTTCCGGTCGCTCGGTGCGCGTTTGGTCCAGGGGGTGAACGCTACCACCATGAATCGCGACACCCGCCCGATAGATAGATAGCTAAAGGGTTTTTATTTGGCGTTGGCGTCGTGTCGTCGCGCGGTCTGGGGTCGGGCGTTGCGGTTTTGGGTAGGTCGACGATGCCGCGGTGGCTGTTCCGGTGCGTTGTGCTCGGTGCACTTGTTGCAAATAGATGCAACGCCGGGCCTTGCGGGACGGAGACGCTTGTGATGGCTTCCTTTTTTTTCGGGGTCCTATTCGGCTTCTCTCCCTCAGCCACCTCAAGCTTGTGAAAGGGTCCTGAGGGGAGACTGCGGAAAAAGAAGTGGCAGGCGGAAGCGATTTGCGGTGCTTTGCTCGGTGTGGCGTCGGTGTCGATAACCACACCGTCTGTGGCTACCCCAAAGAGCTTGACTGCGAAGGGGAACATAGCCGTACGTGGTTTAATCCCGTTTCAGTCTGATCTTTTCTGCTTCTTCCTTTCGACCTATTGGTGCTACCGCCTCGGCTACCTACCGCTTGGTGTTGATCGTCGAGTAAGTCCCGTAGTTGGCACGGACCGGATGCGACTCGATTGCAACCGCGCCGCCGCTCGCCCGTCAGGCATGTGCTGCCGCTGCTACTGCTGCTGCGGTGGCATTTGTCGTCGTCGAGCTTGTTTCACAAGTTACTCGTTGGAGTCATTGCCAGACACTGGACGAAGTAGAAAATCAGGGCAATCGATGGGCAGGGAATATGCAAAACTCTAAAGAATGTTGCCTGCCGCGACCAAGTCCAGAACGATCGCTGTCTATCTTGTCTGTCTTGGAATTAAGTTGTCAGCCAGTCTCGATAGGTCCATGGGCCATGACCGCCTTCAGCTTTTCGAATTGCCAAAGAGGGTTTCCCCTGCGTGTTAGCTCGCTGTATGCTCGGATATCTGGAAATGCTTGCCCAGCTGGTGGTCAAAGGTTGATCTAGCATATATCTCTCTCTCACACCCCCTTGCGTGCCTGCGGGATACATTCCCGCCGCCCTTTTACAAAGCCAAGGCAAGGGCACAATTGGCAGGTCCAGGAACGGGACGCCCTGCAGTGTGGCACAACCCCGAATTCGGGACGAGACTCTGCCGTTGATGGCGGGGACCACTCATATTGCGAGTTGCTGCCTCTGCCATCTCATTCGAAAATGGGCTGCGACAAATCCGTTGTCGTTGCTGGATGCTGACGACGCAAACGGTGATGAAGATGGCTTATTCGCGGGGGAGGGGCCCCTCTCCTCTCCCGCCCGTCGCAAACTCGCGTTCGAGACCCAATACGATCTCGCCGTTTCTTCGTTTGTGCGACCAACAAGAATGAGGGATGTGGAAGCGGAGGAACACAAACTTACAGGTTCCTCCGCTGCGCAACGTAACGGCTTTTCCTTGCCCATCCGTACCCTATTCTTAGGTGAGGTCACTCGGGTCAGCAATCAATCAACAACCCAGGCCCTGAGTCACTGACAAAGGGGTTGATTTGGCCTGACTATTCTCATCCCAAGGCTGGCGACACACACATACACACCCTCCACAAACCACCACCACCACCGCCGCCGCAACTACAGCTTGGACGGTCCGGGGAAACAAAGGTGGGTGGTACCGCCGTGTACAGACTTAAACTGAGTATCAATACGTATCCGAAGGTCATTGTAAATGGAATGGAATCACGAATGCGCCACCCCCAGTCTGACTCAGGCCGGGAAAGCATTCGCCGCGGGCTGAGCCAGAGCCCAGTCAGCACGGCCGTATTGATTCGCGACGGTAACGAGCATTTGAAAAAGGCACGAATGGCAAGTCGCCGGTGTGTTACTTTCTGAATAGGCAGGCAAGTTGCATCTTACAGGCAGGGAGCAGAAGCGATAACCAGGCGGTAAGCCTGTTCGGTGTGCTGTACACGGTAGAGACAGGGCGGTCTGAATTATCGGTATGCGCCTTGTCACCGCCTTCCCTGGTGTGTGTGAGTGCATGTGTAATATACCCGTTGTTTTAGTCGTATTGCGTCTGGAATAGGAATTAGGTTGGACGTCTTAGGTGTCAGTTCTGCGGTTCGGAAACATTGGATGTTGGGGGAGCATGGTAGCTACTAGTCAGCGGCAGCACAGTCAGAAGCAAGCTGAGCAAGGCACACCATCCATCCATCCACCCACGAACGGGTGTATTCGTAAGTCGATGGTTGTCGTCGCATTTCGTTTGAATGCGGATGCGGTTGCGGTTCCGGGTTGTGTTGCGCGTTCGCTCGGGGGGTTTCTCGCTTGTTGGAATGGGTGATGGTGGTGGTCAGGGTTGGGACTTTGGGCTTGTTGGTGATGTCGGTGGTTGTCTGGAGAGGAATGGAGGAAATTCGGGCATCCAACGGAATTCCAATCGACAACCAACCGCATCGTCGGGGCATCGCGGCGTCGCATCCGGGGGCCATCCATCTAGACCAATTGCATTCCCGCGAGTGATTGCTCTGAATCATCCAACTCACACAACCTTGTTGGTAACTTGGTGTATCCGTACTCCGTCACGTCCGTATAGACACCAACAATTCGTATCCATGGATAGTTTGGTGTAAGTATTGAGTGTTCTGTAATTAGTCTATATCCGTACGGAGTAGATGGAACTGATTCGCCGGCCGGGGATGATGGGTGTTGACTGTCACTTTGCGTGTTACCGAATGAGACGATGATACATCTGTAACTCTGCCAACACTCTGTATGATGTACGGAAGCGCCTCCGTGTGTTTCTGGAAATTGAGCCCCGACTCCTGGCGGATGAAAGAAGAAGCGCCGCAAATGACGAAGGATCCATGTCTTCTTTCCATTTCGCCTCGCCTCGCCCTGCCCTGGCCAGCCCGCCAACCTCGTCAACATGGCCATGGCTTCCAACCTGACTCCGGGCACCTGGGATTTGCAGGCTTGCAGCTGTATCCGTACGCCTCGTGGGAATTTTCCCATATTTTTAAGATGAGATGCCTAGGGTCATGACGGGAGAGGCTGGGCAAGCGGGAAGGGTGGACGAAAAAGCTGGGGTCGAACCGTCGCGATAATAGGCACCGAGCCCAACAAGCCGACAGGGAACAGGGCCGGAAATGAGAGGGAAGCCCAAGACTTCCAGGACCCCCAGCAAGCACTGCAAGCAGTGCAAGAAAAAGATGAGAAAAAGTCTTCCAAACTGACGGAAAAGAAACGATCTGATGCCAGTTGGTGATAGTTGACGGAATTTCTGAGACCGGGGATCTCGAACCGGGCCAGTGGATTGGGCCCCCCCAAGCAGCAGCTTGCCGGCCGAGAAGCAATTGGACAGCCGGGAAGTGAAAAGTGATGGACAGGAACCTGGAAAGAAAAGAAACAACGGCCGTGAGCGAGCCCGGGGGTCCGGAAATGGCCGTTCTGGCTGGTGGCCTTAGTTTGCTTTTTGGTCTCTCTTTTGGTGTCCATGCCATGTACGGGCAAATTGGTAAAGTTTGGGTAAAAGATCAATACGGAAGTTCCTAGTTGAGTTTCCGTCGTGGCCGTTCTCGTCTGTCACTGGAGCGGGATGGGCGCGGATGCAATGCGATGCGATGCGCCCAGAGAACCATCAGCATCAGCCCTGGGGAAGGGGAGGTACCTAGGCGGTGGGATTGATGAGGATGTGCTGGATGCAGCCACGGCAGATTTGCTAGCACATCTCGGTTCAATGTTTCGTTCTCTTGGCTCCCGATATTTGTTGGCGTTGGTGTTGGTGATGTGGCTTGCTGTCGCTGTGGTGTTGTACAGATGGAGGTACAAGGCCTCAACCTGAGGTGCATGCAATCTGGTATTGGCAGCATCTGGACCTTACCAGGCAAGGTACGCCATAATTAGGTAGGTATTGTCGTCGCTGGAACAAGAACAAGATCGGACGTCCACCATCGCTGGGCGGCATCAAAGGTGGCAGGGCCCTGGCGGCGGTGAGGCGTTGTAAGTCAAAAAGCATGCGGTAAGTCGGTGTACTTCCTGTAGTTCCCCGAATGCATTCAGTCAATCGCGGGCGCTCATTTAGGCATTCCTTTGATTCTTCCCCTCATCCTTGGCTTCCCCAGGAGGGGCTTCCAGCCTATCGAGGCGCATGGAGATTCACATTCGCAGCTGGGACCCGACAATCTAACAAGAATGAGGGGGTGAGTTGTTCTGCTTGATGCGATGAGTCGGTTAATGAAGCAGAAAAAGCAGCCAAGGGGGTGTATGCTATGTGTGTAACTGACTGGCAAGCGACAACGATCGATGGCGAGTGGAAATGTCAATATCAAAATCAAACGGATGCGATAGGCCGCTTCTGTGACTCGAATTCTCGGTCAAAGTTGTAGAGATTCAGCGAGCGATTGACGATTTGAGGGAGGTTGTCCAATCAGAGGTTGAAGCGGTAGCGCGTGTTGAGTTGAAAACCTAAGTAGCTAACTGTAGAGACCAGATTGGCAGATGGGTGACGGGTAAATCCGATGCAGCGAGAGAAATGCCTTCTGCCCTCCCCCCGCCGTTTGAGACGGCGCAAAAAGTCTGGACGGAGAAGCACCGAGCGCACCGAGGTTTCTCCTTCCCGTCTCTCTCGAGTCTCGCCCGTCTGGGCAGGAGGAAAGTACCTTCCTGCCGTTCTAACCTCTGCTGTGGAGGAAGGTACCTGCTTTCTTCAGGTTCCTGCCCGTGCCAGTTCTTTGGGCTCGCCCGAGGCCCGGGGCAGCCCAGGCTGCCTTCCGCGGGGGCAGGGGCACGCAAGAAGAAAGAGCGCGGGACAGGGCAGGCAGAAAAAGACCCCCCGGCCAGAACACTGAATTGAACGGTCGGCCCCAAGGCGACAGGGCCAGACAGAAGGAAAGGGCGATCCCCAGCCAGCGGCCCAGCACGCCTGCCCGCGAGGTGTGTTCAAACGGCTGGCCCCAGGCCACAGGCCCCCCCCGGGCCCCCGCCTCATGCCGCTGTCGGGCCTCGAATGGGGCAGCGATTAGCAGTGATTGCTGCTGATAGCACCGGGGACAAGTCCCTAGCGAACCGCCTAGAGGGCCTGAGAGCCAAACTCCAACGCTCCGGCTCTCAACATGCCCTGCATTTTGCCCATCCGTTCTGGCCCCCGCGGATTACCAGCTTTTGGCGAAACTCTCTTGGTCCCTTGCAAGTATCTTTGCTGCCCGAAGTGGGTGCAGAGGTACTTCTGGATCATGACTCTTCCCCTGTTACGGTGTAGGTAAGGTAGACAAGTGCCCTCTTCTGGCGACCAATGATTCCCGACACAGACTCACACCCTCACCCCCTTCCGACAAGGCGGTCAAACACCGCTCATTCATTTTCCGTTTTCTTTGCTTTTTGGCTGGTTGGCTGCCGCTCTGCCGCTGTTGGCCTGTCGATATCGCCAAATCGATGCTTCTACTAAGATGTGCGCTGTGAGACAGGCAGACAGCTCCCGCCGCTTCCCCGTCGGCGGTCTGCGGGCCTCTTCCGTATCGTCGCTCGGCGTCCAGTCTTCCTCTTCAAACCCCTGCCTCTCATCACACACAATCATCGCCAACACCGCCGGTTGTCTCTCCCTCCCGTTCTAGGTCGGCCTCAGTATCACAGTAGGGGGTGCCGGCCTCGTGTTTGTCACTGCTGCATCGTGGGGGTGGGCAAGCGGCACAATCGCACCGACAGGGGCCGTCGACAATCACAATTGAAGGATGCGAGACACCGAGACACCAAGAGACGGAAAGCAGCCTGGATAGACCCGATGCAGAGTCAGAAACTCTGAATTTGATGATATCTGGATTGGGGATGGCAGCTGGAATGGAATCGCCGGGTCTGTCTCCGACTCCCTTGCGTATCGATCGTATGTATCCGTAGGTAGACTTAGTTATAGTACGAATAACTAGTAGACACAGCTGGGCTGGGGACCAGTCGGAGTCTTCGAGACCGCTTGCGCCTACGGAGCCAGGCCCGTCCGTTCGCAACTCCATTCCCGTTGCCCCATGGGAACATTCCCCGCGGCACTCGAGCGGCGATTGCGATTCAGCTTTGTTTGCGCCATGATGTTTCTCACATTTGATAGTTGACACAATGCCAGAACAGGTACTATTGAAGCAATACTGATACTCTATACATGATGTAACACCGTACTCTGGTATAGTTGTATATATCATGACTCTTTCTGCCTGTGTTCGAGTCATCTCGGTGTTTCGACCATACAGTGGCGGTAAAAGCAACACCAAGTACACCAAACAACCATCAGCAACCAGCAATAACAAGCGTCATCGCAAGCCAGCGCCGGCGTCATCATAACCAACAACACCATCAGCAGCAACACTTCCCGCCCACGCCGAAAGACACCACCCACACACTGCCACTCCCGTTCGTATACACAGATAGATACGCGCAGCTGCAGGCAAGAGTCAACCCAGCCCATCCGACTTACTCGGGTGCAGTACAAACTCGGACAAAAGTCATCACCGAGAGAAAGAGGCCAAAAGCAGGATTTCCAATATTCCGTTCTTGTCATCCACCGTCCTCTCTATCCGAACCTATACAATCCCGCTGTACTGGCTGTACTGTACTCCGTACCGCGGTGCCGACGACGACTACGAAATACCGGTACGAGACTCCATAGTTCGGACAGCAGCACTCTCAGCAGCTCCTCGGCAACGCCACGTCGAGAATAGTCACCAAGCCCAGGCCCGCGGTCCTACTCTGAATCACCAGAAGCAGGTAATTAACCAGCCAGCCTGAGCCTGAGCCTGAAGGGTACCAAGGATTGGGAATACGGTCTTCCTCCCGCGCGACCGCCAGCCCTGTCGCCGACATTTGTCCTTTCTTCTTTCCCTTTTCATCTTACCGTCCTTGTATACACCCCCTTGCTCACCCCCCTCCTTGCCGACAACTGCAACCGCTTTCCGCCCAAGCCCAACACCTTCAGCTCTTTCCTTCTGGGGCCTTTACCGGTACCGCACCCCCTGCGCTGTCAGCACTCACATTTACACCCCCCTTCCTTCCGACCTGGACTTTCCATCTCCGTCACCGCCTCCCTTGCCTTGTTTTCCCACCCCCTCGGGATACCGGGAAAGCAGTTACCCCCATCTTTTAGGCTTGCCAAAGGCCTAGGTCCACTCTCCGAAATTCCTCGGAACGTTGCTCTGCCCAACCTTGCACCTCCTGTTGACTCTCACCCCCTTTTCTCACACACCCCCAACACCCGCAACACGCCCCCCCCGACACCCCCCCCCCCAGAAAACCAGAGGAAGGCAGACGCGCCCCTTGGGACTTATAAGTCTCCCGTGTCCACCTTCTCCCACACTCTTCCAGTTCGTGATAATCAACAACAATATCCACAACTCTGAAGTCTTATACGAACAAGACCTTTCAACACTCAACATCACTCTACACATCGCAGCCATGTACGGCTCATACGGTTCATACAGCTCCATGGGCTCCGTCTCCATGACCGCCCCCATCGATATCTCTCCCAGCAACATGCTCGCCCACGACCGGTCGTGCGCCTTCCCTTCTTGGCCACGCCGCGATACCCTCGCCGACTTTGACGGCGAGCCCAGAGCCACCTCTTACCTTTCCGACGAGGACCTCTTCCCCCAGGATTTCGAGGACGATTCCCACAGCGTTTCCAGCCACGGCAGCTTCTCTTCGCCCAACTCCCGCTCTCCCCAGATTTCCGAGGTTGAGCTTCTCCAGATGGAACGCGAGCGCATGGCTATGCAGCGCGAGGCCCTTCGTTGCGTCATGGCCGAGAAGGAACGTCGTCGCCAAGCAGCTCTCCAGCAAAAGAAGTCGCAACGCCGCGGCAGCTCCAAGAAGAGCCCCAAGAACAAGCTCGCCTCCATGACTCCCATCGCCGAGTGAGAGCTTTCCACGATAAAGCTGCAAGCTCTCTCTACTACATGGCATGTGGCAATGCGCAAACATCTATTGTTCGGACGGGCATACTCTAGCTCGCCGACACACCTCCTCAGTCTCGACAAACCATAATCCATAATATCGGCAGCCTCTTCAGCATGGCGCCAGCACAAGACCAAATCAGGAACGCCTCTGACCTGGAACATCCAATATGCTCCGACGGTCTAGGTCTCTGGTCTTCAAACACAAACACGCCTCTGGCGATTCAACCACCTTGGCCTCGGCCTCGTGTGCAACGCGGCCTGATTTCCATCACAAGCTTGCAACCGATCATCCAGCTTCCGGCTTGCTCATCACTGCACGGGGCGACTCGGAACGCAGTGTGGGGGAGCACAAGCAAGGCCGATCGTGGGGGGGCCAGCCTACAGCAGTGTGTCTCAGCCACACTCGCGCACGCCCGGCGGTATCGGCCACCCACCGAACAAGAGTCACCCGGCAATGGCTGGTGTGGCAGGTGAGAGGACTTACAGGTCGGCTGCCTCGTTACGTTGCAATCGATACCTGGTCCTCGTGGACTCATCATTTGGGCACTGGCATTTCACATGCCTTGCATCACCCTGTTTACTGCTTTTTCTCATTGTCTTTTCATGTTGATACCCCCCTTTGCTGTGGCCCACCGAGGTAGCCCAGCTAGTATTTGTCGCATGGAGTTTGTTTTTTCATATCAATCAACGGATCGACTTTTGGGTTATTGGGGGCAGCATGGCATCACAGCACAATTTCACAGGACTTTGCATCCGCATCATCGGGGACTTAAGCATAGGAACACCATTTTGCCCACACGAGGCTTCGCATTAGTTAGTTAGTTAGTATTTAGTACGAGATACCCTTCGCCACGCGCGACATCAACATTTGATTCTATTCTACATTACAAGATATCTGCATTCATCTATTCGCTTCCTCGTGATTTGTAACCCTGTGACTCAGGCATGCATCGCCTTCTCGTCGCTATAGGATGCATTTGCTTATGACAGGTGCGTTCGTGCATCGAGGCTTAACAGCATTTGAAATCAGGGAAAATGTCAGAGTCATTCCGTAAATTCCGTTCCGGCATGCAGAATCACAACCGTAGAGTCATACTTTTTACGAGCAAACGTAAGCATGTGGCACTCTGACCTGCCTAGATTCAGCGGTTGTTGATGTGTCTACGGAGTACCGCGCGCTGGTTGGACTGTGTGTGTGGCTTGTAGGGTTTGCTGCTTGCCTCACTTGCATTCGGTCGCTGACAAAGTCCAACCGCGGGTCTGGAATCAATATTGGGGAATTATTGTGGGAGCTGGGGAACTGGAAATGGAAACTGGGACTGGTAGAGTGGATGGTGCTGACCGGTCGGCCGGGGGCTGAAGGATTACCCTGTTTTTGTTCTCTCTCTGCTTTTGTGAGTTTTGTTGTGTGTTGTGGACTTGAGGTTGTTCTAGCCACAAAAATCATGTCGTCATTAATATCGTATTGTCTCGCTGGCTTTTCGGAACTTTGCGAGCAGTACCGGTATTGTGCCAACCCGCCAGCCAAAAGTGTGTTGGGGGGGGTTTCGGCCTGGTTGGGGGAGAGACGGAGGCAGAGCCGACGGTGTTGCGGCTTGTGACTGCCCTACACTGTCAAGTCTGGCTGGCAATATCGATGACAACAGGAGGCCCTCACAAAAACGGTCGGGAACCGTCGGGAGATGCACCCCTGTCAGTACCCTTTGCCTTAGGTAATCATTTAAAGTCTCGAGTTCCAAGCAACAATTCCCGTTGAGAATTCCCGGCGGGTGGACTATTCACTTGAACTTTTGCGGGTATGGAACTTGTAAGCCCTGGGATATGCGCTGCTGGCAACTTGGCAAGAGGGATTTGGTTGGAAGACACAGACCCCGTCATGCCGTTTGCTCCGTCCGAAAGACACAGCCTCACTTGATTCCACCCCAGATATTGGTTCCAGGCCCTGGGGACTCTGTTCGGCGCATTACGAATTTCCCAAGGACCCGGGCCAGAGGGAGGTTCCAGAGTGAGGAGACCCAAAAGTCATCTCTATTCTTGGGTGTTTTGCTATGGGGGGGACACAGGGAAAGGGAAGAGGGCTGTAAATTCTACCGAGATCGATGTCTGGATTGCGTGTCTCCATTGCAATCTTCGGGTCTTTGGACCGTTTTGGGTGAGCTGTGTTTGGATACGGGGCGAGCGCGTGTGTTGTGGCGTGCGCGTCTACCCCGTAAGTGTATCCGAGGCTTAGGTAAGGTTTTCTGGGGGTGTCTGTCTGTGGCTTAGCAAGCAGGCGGCCTCGATTGTGGCGTCGGTTCCCCATGAACAGAAAAGCCACAAGCCTCGG